TACAATGGGTGGGTGGCGTTCATGCGATTGAATAAGTTCATCCGTGCTCTGTACAAGACGAATCTACTCACTCGCCTGCCCCTTACATCCACCATTTAACAAGAGGTGGAACCGGTGCATTTATCATTAATTTTATTAGCTTGTTTATTTATGATTAATGTATTATGTTATAAATATGTTCACACTAATTAATTTAAATTATGACTTCATTTAAATTATGCATTTAATTATTGTTTATTAATAAACTTTATTTAAGTTATGAAATCAAATGTTTTTCATTATTTTATTTAAATGAGTACTTTTATGTAACTTATAAATTTTACTTATGTTTTTTTTTATAAAATGTAGGGGAAAATGTCAAAACTGGGTGGTTTTTAACTTTTGCCGACAAAACTGGATCCCAAATGTCAAAACTGGGTGGTCTTGGAAAACGACAGGCAAAACAGGGTGGTGCTTTTTGATATGACAAAACTGGGTGATGTTCAATGTGGACAAATGTCAAAACTGGGTGAAGAAGGTGTACGATTTAATGTATCATTTTGTACACGTTTAGGTCCTTGCGTTATTCATCCATATGTCGCCACAGATTTAGAGCGTTCCAAATGATGTTTCTCGTGGCTCATGTTCCATACCTTGCACCACAAACTTCCCGTTTGCATACTGGCACAGTGTGCCAGCTCGCTTACTTGCCGTTTGTATACTGGCACAGTGTGCCAGCTCGCTACTACAGTAACACTTACTTGCCATATGTATACTGGCACAGTGTGCCAGCTTGCAACTACAGTAACACTTTCAGCTCGCGAACATACACGAACTTGCCATTTGTATACTGGTACAGTGTGCCAGCTTGCATGCTACACCTACTACAGTAGAACAACGGTAGATAGTGTTTGCGTCGAGAAGTATGGTGCTGCACACTTAGAACAAAACATGTTTGTTACATATATATAACTACTTCGACGGGCAAGAGCGCTTGTTGTGGCCCTTGGCGCGACAGAAGGAGCACCGCGTGAGGCCCAATGGGCCACCTTCACCACGGTTGCGAATCCGACGCTTCTTCGGGCGGCCAGCCTTCTTCTGGCGAGGAGGTGGCATCATGGTGTTGTCGCGTTGCAGCTCCTCGGCAATGGGCAGCTCGATACCGGCAACCGAGGTCCATGTCGTGTTGATGGCAGAGACTTGGTAACACACCGCACATGCGTCGTAGAGCTCGGGCATCCGCCCAAACGCCATGAGGGCACGAATGTAGTGCCGACACGGCAAGCCCATCTGCTTCATGTACCCGCACGTGCACGACCGAGAGCTGAGATCGACTCGGCGCTTGGCAGAGGCGTAGGCGTCTGGATCCTTGACGTATGCACGCGTCGAGGTACTCTCGTAGACCTTGTACCTCGGGGCCAACGCCTGCTGAGCGTCGATGAGTCCTTGAGCGTACGGCGTAATGACACGCCCTTGAGCGGCCCACTTCTCGGCGTCGCTGCGGTGGGCAAAGGCCGTCGTCATCATGTCTTCCATGTGGTGCATGAGGAAGTGGAAGGGTTCCATCTCGCGAGCCGGCAGGGCCTCGCTGTTCGTGGACTCCACAAAGTTCGTCGTGCGCCAGCCGTACAATGGCGTCGTGTGCAGGTGCGGGTAGAGCGCCCACGTGTGGGGGTCGATCTTGTTGTAGTACGTGGCCGCCGCAGGCAGAGCTACGCCCAAGCAGCCCAAGGAGCTGCGGAACGCGGCCTCGGAGGCGCACCCTTGGGCATCGTAGATGATGCCTTGGAGGTCGGGCGTGAACGCGGAGCCGATGTTGTCCACGCCGTTGCAGATCAAATGCCGCGTGCAGTGGATGAGCATGAGGTCCTTCCAGTCGGAGGCTAGGATGCCCGTGCCACGATCGCAGAAGACCGGCGTGCCGTCGAGCTCGATGTCGTTGGTCGTGCAGCAGTTGAGAAACCAGTCGTAGGCCGCTGCCGTCTCGGACGGCACCAGCGCCACGGCGAGAAGGACGTTGCGGTTGTTGCCGTCGCGCCCAACGAGGACGAGCATGGTTCCGTTGTAGGCGCGCGCCTTCATGTGCGACCCGTCGATGCCGACGACGCGTTGAAGACTTGGCTGCAACGAGCGTGCGATCGGGTTGCAGATGAACGCACCCCAGAAGATGCCCGCGTCTTCTCGCACACTGCAGGTCGTCGCGTTGAGCTTGCCGAACGTCTCCACCAGCGAGTTGATGAACTCGAAGCCTGCATGGGCCGCACTCTCGTTCGCCGCGATGCACGTGTCCTTGGCGCGGTACATCATCCGGGTCGGGACAATGACGCGAGCAACGTCGGCGACCTGGGCAATGACAGTCGGTGCGGAGGTACGGGGGTTGGCGCGAAAGGCCGAACGGGCTGTCATGTTCGCCTCCACTTGGCGCTGCGTGATCTTGGTAGTGCCCGTGCAGCCGTGGTGATCCGTGCACAGCGCCGAGACGCGGAAGCCGCGTCGTTCCCCCGTGAGCTTCGTCAGCTTCACCTTGAAGGAACAAGGTGTTGAACTAGAGCAGACGATGGCAACGTGCCGTCCGCCGCTTCGCTTGAGGTCAAGGACCGCGCGCTTGCCTTGTTGCAAAGCAAAGTCTTGGATGCCGTGGATGGCCTCGCGGCACGTGGTAAAAGTCTTCTTGGGGTGGAGGGTTGCCATTCGAATGTGAGCCGCTCCTCCACCTGTTTTGTGAATAATGCTTGTGAAAAATCACGTTTCTACGTCTACTTTCAATTTTTCACGAGACAATATGTCTATTTTCATTGCCAGCAATTAGATTTTTCACACAATATTTCCGCCAATCACCGTAACGGTGGGCCAAAGGATTGACCAATCAACGAGATGCGCATTCGTTGGTTTGTTCCGCACCATTGGGACCATGGTCAGGAGCGTCAAGTAGGCTGGTCCATCTCCCAAGGACGTCGCCTTTGTCTCTGTGCTTGGTCGTTTGGCGGGCTATGGTCGAATGCATGGCAAATTTAAGGGTGTACAGTAGCGCGTAGCATCAACCAACAATCCAAAAGTTTGGTATTGACGCGAGTCACTAGTCTAGGTCATCACGCAAGGTGGCAGTGCGCCCGCCTGGTCGCAAGCCCGCCCCGAGCTCACTTCCGAGTCCGAGCCGTAGCTTGAAATGTTGGTCGTTGGGGTGCTGGCATACTGTGCCAGCGTACAAATATCAAGTGTGTGTAGTTATATGGTGCTGGCACACTGTGCCAGCATACTAATACCAAGTGTTTAGATGAATGGGGTGCTGGCACAGTGTGCCAGTATACAAATACCAAGTGTTTGGATGAATGGGGTGCTGGCACACTGTGCTAGTATACAATTATCAAGTGTATTTGACAAATGTCAAAACTGGGTGCACCCTGAGTGTCCAAAACTCAAGTTTTTGGCCACCCAGGGTGCACCCAGTTTTGACATTTGGGATCCAGTTTTGTCGGCAAAAGTTAAAAACCACCCAGTTTTGACATTTTCCCTAAAATGTAGTATTAATTAATTTGATATTCATTTTATTATTCATTTTTCTTACTTGTTATTCACTTGATTTGCTACTAAATCTTCTTCTGTTATTCGTTGCACGCAGTTGTAAATTGACTTTACTCAGTCGGTGGTCGCCGCTGAGGTCGTGACGGGTTTCTTTTGTTCCATTCCTGTTGCTCTGTGGCCTCGGAACCGTTCCCGTGCTGCTGCGATGTGCACCGATGCCCACTTCAGTGAGGGCGATGTTGGCACGCAGACTGAAGATCGATTGAAGAGGACAAATGCGAGTCCCTTCGTGTCCAGTCAATGTCTCGTTACTTGGACAAATATGTTAAATCTTACCCATGGCTCGAGGAGTATCCTGAAGCTCATTAAATAACTCAACCATTATGATTGGAATCTCAGCTCCACCGTAACGAAGAATAAAAGCTGTCAATGCTCCCCACATTTCCACTTTCAACTGCAGACGCTTCAAATCTTGACGATGCTCCCAGCACGTGGAAGGAACGTCACAGACGTCGCGCTGATCAACAAGGGGCAGAAACTTAAAGCGCATCGGAGAGAGGCACAACGCGTAATCTCCACACCGCACTCCGACGCGCACGCCGCTCACTAATCCCAGCGCTACAGTCCAGGCTCAACCTTGCACAGCTTCCGAGATCTGGAAAAAAAATCGGCGACATTCCGGGTTGATTTGGCCACAGCCTCTTGTGAAATCTCCTGCGCACCAACACCGCTCCAGGCACCGCAGGGACCCAAACGGCGTCTGGGAATCGGTCGCGATTCGTGACTCGATCCGCAACTCTGGACCAGTGCCGGCAGTAAAACAATGAACCCCACGTGACCCCAAACATCCCCATCTCCCCCACCCCCTAGGGGTCCCTCCTCTCACGTAAAACCCCCAAGCCCCCCCCAGACAACCCCCCCCCACCTCTACCCCTCCCCCTGGTGGCTGTTGTTGTGGTGGTGATTTTGGTGGTGGTTGTTGTTGTCTGGTAATTGTTGTGGTTGCTGTGGTGGTGGTTGTTGTGGTGGTTGTTGTGGTGGTTGTCGTAGTGGTGGTGGTTGTGGTTGTTGTTGCTGCTCTACCACTTTCTCCTGACGAGCACCAGGGTCACGTGGCATCCTCGCGGGAAGTTACCAGCAGCGTCAGCGGTGACGTCACCCCCCCCCCCCCCCACACAGTGCTGGGTCACAGCAGCGAGGCTGCAGGTTGTCCCTAAGGGCCTCTGTTTTGTTGTCGCCAACGCGGTGACGTGATGACGTCACAGCGGGACTCCCCCAGTAGCGGGAATCCAGAACGTCAGAATCTGTGTTTGTAGTGCAGGAGGTATCCGATGAGCTGTGAAGCTCTTTGTGTTTATAGATGGTGCGGTGGTGAGGGGCGGGCGTGGGGGGTAGGGTGACGTGGTGACGTCACCGCGTGGGGGGAGCGTGCGTGGTGACGTCACCACGTCCATGACGCAGCAGCAGATAACTTGAACGTTGTTGTGTTCTGTATTTTTATTGTAGAATCGACGATACAAACGTCACAATGCCACTGTCGTAAGTGCACAATTATACTTTTATAATAATAATATTGTTGTTGTTGTATCTCTCCCACAACCCATGGCACCACCAGTGTATAAACGCATCCCATTTCACCATTGATAATCACTGCACCCTACACTACAGTCACACTCCTCTGGCAGGGTGAACACATTCATGTTGGCTTCACACACACACAGCAGTACTTATTTTATCACCCCTACCCGCTATTAAGGTTGTGAGGATTGTTTACGCTCAGGCCCTCCCGTTATGATGGAGAGCCACGCAGCCCCTAGCCACCGACAGCCACCAGCCAGTCACGGGCGTCGCACTGCGCGTGACGGTGACGAGGGTGGCGAGCGCCGTGCGTCGTGGCGTCTGTCCTCTGCGCTGTTCACGTTCACCTCTCTCAGGACGCACCACTCAGATCCACAATCCTCACTGAGTCACCAACTTGACCCCACACCCACAGTCCTGGATGTAGGGGCTGAGTGAATGTTTGGTGCAACGAGTGTAACTTAGCCATGGAATCGGCGCTGTAAAATGACAGCAGCCCCGCGTCCCAGTCCAGATGAACCCCGACTCTCCGCGGAGGCTGCGGCACCGACAGTGAGGTCGCTACCCCGCCATGCAGCACTGAGAAGCTGTCGCCATCTTTCCGTAGACACCAGGAGACGAAACTCTCTCCCAGGAGGCACTCAGCACCACGCCCTCTCCGTGGGATCGTCCCGTACGCGACTCCAACCCGAAACCGCCTCGCGCTCCCCACGTCCACTTCCCAGTAGTGCTGACCCGACGAGAAGCTCTCAGAGCACAGGGCTTGTGGATGGCACTCAAAGCGGTGTGGGTGATGGGGGCGACCCTGGCGGACACGGCTCACCGTCACCGTCCTGAGATCCGTGGAAATCTCAAGGAGGTCGTGGGCTGAGTTTGTGTCCAGAGTCGGTGAGCGTCCATCTGTGGCGTGTACACACACACACACGTGGCGTGTATGCACACACACACACGTGGCGTGTATGCACACACACAAGCGTGGCGTGTACGCACACACACACGCGTGGCGTGTACGCACACACACACGCGTGGCGTGTACGCACACACACACGCGTGGCGTGTACGCACACACACACACACACGTGGCGTGTACGCACACACACACACACACTAGGCGTGTACGCACACACACACACACGTGGCGTGAACGCACACACACACACACGTGGCGTGTACGCACACACACACACACGTGGCGTGCACGCACACACACACACACGTGGCGTGCACGCACACACACACACACTTGGCGTGCACGCACACACACACACACACGTGGCGTGCACGCACACACACACACACACGTGGCGTGCACGCACACACACACACACACGTGGCGTGCACGCACACACACACACACACGTGGCGTGCACGCACACACACACACACACGTGGCGTGTACGCACACACACACACACACGTGGCGTGTACGCACACACACACACACACGTGGCGTGTACGCACACACACACACACACGTGGCGTGCACGCACACACACACGTGGCGTGCACGCACACACACACACACACGTGGCGTGCACGCACACACACACACACACGTGGCGTGCACGCGCACACACACACACGTGGCGTGCACGCGCACACACACACATACGTGGCGTGCACGCGCACACACACACATACGTGGCGTGCACGCGCACACACACACACACACGTGGCGTGCACACGCACACACACACACACGTGGCGTGCACGCGCACACACACACACACACACACGTGGCGTGTACGCACACACACACACACACGTGGCGTGTACGCACACACAAACACACACGTGGCGTGCACGCACACACACACGTGGCGTGCACGCACACACACACACACACACGTGGCGTGCACGCACACACACACACACACGTGGCGTGCACGCGCACACACACACACACACGTGGCGTGCACGCGCACACACACACACACACGTGGCGTGCACGCGCACACACACACACACACACGTGGCGTGCACGCGCACACACACACACACACGTGGCGTGCACGCGCACACACACACACACACGTGGCGTGCACGCGCACACACACACACACACGTGGCGTGCACGCACACACACACACACACACACGTGGCGTGCACGCGCACACACACACACACACACGTGGCGTGCACGCGCACACACACACACACGCACGTGGCGTGCACGCGCACACACACACACACACGCACGTGGCGTGCACGCGCACACACACACACACGCACGTGGCGTGCACGCGCACACACACACACACGCACGTGGCGTGCACGCGCACACACACACACACGCACGTGGCGTGCACGCGCACACACACACACGCACGTGGCGTGCACGCGCACACACACACACACGCACGTGGCGTGCACGCGCACACACACACACACGCACGTGGCGTGCACGCGCACACACACAAACACGCACGTGGCGTGCACGCGCACACACACACACACGCACGTGGCGTGCACGCGCACACACACACACACGCACGTGGCGTGCACGCGCACACACACACACACGCACGTGGCGTGCACGCGCACACACACACACGCACGTGGCGTGCACGCGCACACACACACGCACGTGGCGTGCACGCGCACACACACACGCACGCGGCGTGCACGCGCACACACACACGCACGTGGCGTGCGCGCGCACACACACACGCACGTGGCGTGCACGCGCACACCACACACGCACGTGGCGTGCACGCGCACACACACACGCACGTGGCGTGCACGCGCACACACACACACACGCACGTGGCGTGCACGCGCACACACACACGCACGTGGCGTGCACGCGCACACACACACGCACTGGCGTGCACGCGCACACACACACGCACGTGGCGTGCACGCGCACACACACACGCACGTGGCGTGCACGCGCACACACACACGCACGTGGCGTGCACGCGCACACACACACGCACGTGGCGTGCACGCGCACACACACACACACACGTGGCGTGCACGCGCACACACACACACAACACACGTGGCGTGCACGCACACACACACACACACACGTGGCGTGCACGCGCACACACACACACACCACACACGTGGCGTGCACGCGCACACACACACACACACACACGTGGCGTGCACGCGCACACACACACGCACGTGGCGTGCACGCGCACACACACACGCACGTGGCGTGCACGCACACACACACACACACGCACGTGGCGTGCACGCGCACACACACAAACACGCACGTGGCGTGCACGCGCACACACACAAACACGCACGTGGCGTGCACGCGAACACACACACACGCACGTGGCGTGCACGCGCACACACACACACGCACGTGGCGTGCACGCGCACACACACACGCACGTGGCGTGCACGCGCACACACACACGCACGTGGCGTGCACGCGCACACACACACGCACGTGGCGTGCACGCGCACACACACACACACGTGGCGTGCACGCGCACACACACACACACGTGGCGTGCACGCACACACACACACACACGTGGCGTGCACGCACACACACACACACGTGGCGTGCACGCACACACACACACACACACGTGGCGTGCACGCACACACACACACACGTGGCGTGCACGCACACACACACACACACACACACGTGGCGTGCACGCACACACACACCACACACACGTGGCGTGCACGCACACACACACACACACGTGGCGTGCACGCGCACACACACACACACGTGGCGTGCACGCGCACACACACACGCACGTGGCGTGCACGCGCACACACACACGCACGTGGCGTGCACGCGCACACACACACACGCACGTGGCGTGCACGCGCACACACACACACACGCACGTGGCGTGCACGCACACACACACACACACGTGGCGTGCACACACACCACACACACGTGGCGTGCACACACACACATACACGTGGCGTGCACGCGCACACACACACACGTGGCGTGCACGCGCACACACACACACACACGTGGCGTGCACGCACACACACACACACACGTGGCGTGTACGCACACACACACACACACGTGGCGTGTACGCACACACACACACACGTGGCGTGCACGCACACGCACACACACACGTGGCGTGCACGCACACACACACACACACGTGGCGTGCACGCGCACACAAACACACACGTGGCGTGCACGCGCACACAAAACACACACGTGGCGTGCACGCGCACACAAACACACACGTGGCGTGCACGCGCACACACACACACACGTGGCGTGCACGCGCACACACACACACACACGTGGCGTGCACGCGCACACACACACACACACGTGGCGTGTACACACACACACACACGTGGCGTGCACGCGCACACACACACACACGTGGCGTGCACGCGCACACACACACACACGTGGCGTGCACGCGCACACACACACACACGTGGCGTGCACGCGCACACACACACACACACGTGGCGTGCACGCGCACACACACACACACACACACGTGGCGTGCACGCGCACACACACACACACGTGGCGTGCACGCACACACACACACGTGGCGTGCACGCACACACACACACGTGGCGTGCACGCACACACACACACACACGTGGCGTGCACGCACACACACACACACGTGGCGTGCACGCACACACACACACACACGTGGCGTGCACGCACACACACACACGTGGCGTGCACGCACGCACACACACACACGTGGCGTGCACGCGCACACACACACGTGGCGTGCACGCGCGCACACACACACACACGTGGCGTGCACGCGCACACACACACACACGTGGCGTGCACGCGCACACACACACACACGTGGCGTGCACGCGCACACCACACCACGCACGTGGCGTGCACGCGCGCACACACACGCACGTGGCGTGCACGCGCGCACACACACGCACGTGGCGTGCACGCGCGCACACACACGCACGTGGCGTGCACGCGCACACACACGCACGTGGCGTGCACGCGCACACACACAAGCACGTGGCGTGCACGCGCACACACACACGCACGTGGCGTGCACGCGCACACACACACGCACGTGGCGTGCACGCGCACACACACACGCACGTGGCGTGCACGCGCACACACGCACGTGGCGTGCACGCGCACACACGCACGTGGCGTGCACGCGCACACACACGCACGTGGCGTGCACGCGCACACACACACGCACGTGGCGTGCACGCGCACACACACACGCGGCGTGCACGTGCACACACACACACACACACGTGGCGTGCATGCGCACCACAACACACACACACGTGGCGTGCACGCGCACACACACACACACACGTGGCGTGCACGCGCACACACACACACACACACACGTGGCGTGCACGCGCACACACACACACACCACGTGGCGTGCACGCGCACACACACACACACACACACACGTGGCGTGCACGCGCACACACACACACACGTGGCGTGCACGCGCACACACACACACACACGTGGAGTGCACGCGCACCACACACACACACGTGGCGTGCACGCACACACACACACCCGTGGCGTGTACACACACACACACACGTGGCGTGCACGCGCACACACACACACACGTGGCGTGCACGCGCACACACACACACACGTGGCGTGCACGCGCACACACACACACACACACGTGGCGTGCACGCGCGCAACACACAACACACACGTGGCGTGCACGCACACACACACACACACACGTGGCGTGCACGCACCACACAACACACGTGGCGTGCACGCACACACACACCACACACGTGGCGTGCACGCGCCACACACACACACACACGTGGCGTGCACGCACACACACACACACACGTGGCGTGCACGCCACACACACACGTCGGCACACACACAACCACACGTGGCGTGCACGCACCACACACACACACGTGGCGTGCACGCACAC